TATCATACAATAACGGTCATATATTTCCATGGATATTAGCTGGTCAGTTCTAGAACATTCCATCATGAAGAATGGAGCTGTTTCGTGCTGGCCTAGCTGGCCACAAACAGGACACATCATTTGCAAGCACGCGATATACATCCGTTGGCGCCACTGAACAATTCTTTTTCGCAATCACATGTTTGAACAAAATCCGGTTTTGTGCTATACCGTCCTCTTCCCTTTGATTGTTCGGTGCAATTCTACGTTGCTTTAGGTAGTTAAAAGCGGTTCAAACTGTTTACGATCTCCCGATAATTACCGTTGACGTGCAAAACAATCCGTCCTTCTAATCCCATGTATGAACGTATTCCGATTTTTTACTACACCGTTATCATCCATACGACCGTTTGGTATAATTCCACGTTGCTCGAGGCAGCTACAAAAGATTCACACTATAAGCAACCTCACGGTACATACCGTGACTGGCATACAAACAGTTCTGTCTGTTATCATAAGCTGAAATCTATATTAACGTAACTAATCTTTGGACAAACAATTTTGCCACTGCCGTCGATTCAAAAATATAAAAAACTCGGTTCAATCTTTCGAGATTTTACTCGCTCAGTAAAATAGTGGTCATTTGAACAACTTTTAAAAAAAGTCATTTTTTTGAAAAAAACCTGACTATAGCCTTTAAAAATCTGGTAAAAAGGCCGAAAAATTAAATCGAATGAAATGACTGAAAATTTATTTGGCTTAATTTAAGTAACAAAAGTAAGCAATTCAATCTACGACCGTAGATAAGCGGGCTTGAATATGATATCATACAATAACGGTCATATTTTTCAATGATATTAGCTGGTCAGTTCTAGAACATTTCATCATCAAAAATGGAGCTGTTTCGTGCTGGCCTAGGTGGCCGCAAACAGGACACATCATTTGCGAGCACGCGATAAACATCTGTTGGCGCCACTGAACAATTCTTTTCGCAATCACATGTTTGAACAAAATCCGGTTTTGTGCTATACCGTCCTCTTCCCTTTGATTGTTCGGTGCAATTCTACGTTGCTTTAGGTAGTTAAAAGCGGTTCAAACTGTTTACGATCTCTTGATAATTACCGTTGACGTGCAAAACAGATACGTCCTTCTAATCCCATGTATGAACGTATTCCGATTTTTTACTACACCGTTATCATCCATACGACCGTTTGGTATAATTCCACGTTGCTCGAGGCAGCTACAAAAGATTCACACTATTAGCAACCTCACGGTACATACCGTGACTGGCATACAAACAGTTCTGTCTGTTATCATAAGCTGAAATCTATATTAACGTAACTAATCTTTGGACAAACAATTTTGCCACTGCCGTCGATTCAAAAATATAAAGAACTCGGTTCAATCTTTCGAGATTTTACTCGCTCAGTAAAATAGTGGTCATTTGAACAACTTTTAAAAAAGTCCTTTTTTTTGAAAAAAACCTGACTATAGCCTTTAAAATCTGGTAAAAAGGCCGAAAAATTAAATCGAATGAAATGACTGAAAATTTATTTGGCTTAATTTAAGTAACAAAAGTAAGCAATTCAATCTACGACCGTAGATAAGCGGGCTTGAATATGATATCATACAATCACGGTCATATATTTCCATGGATATTAGCTGGTCAGTTCTAGAACATTCCATCATCAAAAATGGAGCTGTTTCGTGCTGGCCTAGCTGGCCACAAACAGGACACATCATTTGCAAGCACGCGATATACATCCGTTGGCGCCACTGAACAATTCTTTTTCGCAATCACATGTTTGAACAAAATCCGGTTTTGTGCTATACCATCCTCTTCCCTTTGATTGTTCGGTGCAATTCTACGTTGCTTTAGGTAGTTAAAAGCGGTTCAAACTGTTTACGATCTCTTGATAATTACCGTTGACGTGCAAAACAATCCGTCCTTCTAATCCCATGTATGAACGTATTCCGATTTTTTACTACACCGTTATCATCCATACGACCGTTTGGTATAATTCCACGTTGCTCGAGGCAGCTACAAAAGATTCACACTATTAGCAACCTCACGGTACATACCGTGACTGGCATACAAACAGTTCTGTCTGTTATCATAAGCTGAAATCTATATTAACGTAGCTAATCTTTGGACAAACAATTTTGCCACTGCCGTCGACTCAAAAATATAAAGAACTCGGTTCAATCTTTCGAGATTTTACTCGCTCAGTAAAATAGTGGTCATTTGAACAACTTTTAAAAAAGTCCTTTTTTTTGAAAAAAAACCTGACTATATATAGCCTTTAAAAATCTGGTAAAAAGGCCGAAAAATTAAATCGAATGAAATGACTGAAAATTTATTTGGCTTAATTTAAGTAACAAAAGTAAGCAATTCAATCTACGACCGTAGATAAGCGGGCTTGAATATGATATCATACAATCACGGTCATATATTTCCATGGATATTAGCTGGTCAGTTCTAGAACATTCCATCATCAAAATGGAGCTGTTTCGTGCTGGCCTAGCTGGCCACAAACAGGACACATCATTTGCAAGCACGCGATATACATCCGTTGGCGCCACTGAACAATTCTTTTTCGCAATCACATGTTTGAACAAAATCCGGTTTTGTGCTATACCATCCTCTTCCGTATGATTGTGCGGTGCAATTCTACGTTGCTCTAGGTAGTTAAAAGCGGTTCAAACTGTTTACGATCTCACGATAATTACCGTTGACGTGCAAAACGATACGTCCTTCTAATCCCATGTATGAACGTATTCCGATTTTTTACTACACCGTTATCATCCTTACGACCGTTTGGTGTAATTCCACGTTGCTCGAGGCAGCTACAAAAGATTCACACTATTAGCAACCTCACGGTACATACCGTGACTGGCATACAAACAGTTCTGTCTGTTATCATAAGCTGAAATCTATATTAACGTAGCTAATCTTTGGACAAACAATTTTGCCACTGCCGTCGACTCAAAAATATAAAGAACTCGGTTCAATCTTTCGAGATTTTACTCGCTCAGTAAAATAGTGGTCATTTGAACAACTTTTAAAAAAGTCCTTTTTTTTGAAAAAAAACCTGACTATATATAGCCTTTAAAAATCTGGTAAAAAGGCCGAAAAATTAAATCGAATGAAATGACTGAAAATTTATTTGGCTTAATTTAAGTAACAAAAGTAAGCAATTCAATCTACGACCGTAGATAAGCGGGCTTGAATATGATATCATACAATCACGGTCATATATTTCCATGGATATTAGCTGGTCAGTTCTAGAACATTCCATCATCAAAAATGGAGCTGTTTCGTGCTGGCCTAGCTGGCCACAAACAGGACACATCATTTGCAAGCACGCGATATACATCCGTTGGCGCCACTGAACAATTCTTTTTCGCAATCACATGTTTGAACAAAACCCGGTTTTGTGCTATACCATCCTCTTCCGTATGATTGTGCGGTGCAATTCTACGTTGCTCTAGGTAGTTAAAAGCGGTTCAAACTGTTTACGATCTCACGATAATTACCGTTGACGTGCAAAACGATACGTCCTTCTAATCCCATGTATGAACGTATTCCGATTTTTTACTACACCGTTATCATCCTTACGACCGTTTGGTGTAATTCCACGTTGCTCGAGGCAGCTACAAAAGATTCACACTATTAGCAACCTCACGGTACATACCGTGACTGGCATACAAACAGTTCTGTCTGTTATCATAAGCTGAAAGCTATATTAACGTAGCTAATCTTTGGACAAACAATTTTGCCACTGCCGTCGATTCAAAAATATAAAGAACTCGCTTCAATCTTTCGAGATTTTACTCACTCAGTAACATAGTGGTCATTTGAAAAACTTTTAAAAAAGTCCTTTTTTTGAAAAAAAACCTGACTATATCCTTTAAAAATCTGTTAAAAAGGCCGAAAAATTAAATCGAATGAAATGACTGAAAATTTATTTGGCTTAATTTAAGAAACAAAAGTAAGCAATTCAATCTACGACCGTAGATAAGCGGGCTTGAATATGATATCATACAATCACGGTCATATATTTCCATGGATATTAGCTGGTCAGTTCTAGAACATTCCATCATCAAAAATGGAGCTGTTTCGTGCTGGCCTAGCTGGCCACAAACAGGACACATCATTTGCAAGCACGCGATATACATCCGTTGGCGCCACTGAACAATTCTTTTTCGCAATCACATGTTTGAACAAAACCCGGTTTTGTGCTATACCATCCTCTTCCGTATGATTGTGCGGTGCAATTCTACGTTGCTCTAGGTAGTTAAAAGCGGTTCAAACTGTTTACGATCTCACGATAATTACCGTTGACGTGCAAAACGATACGTCCTTCTAATCCCATGTATGAACGTATTCCGATTTTTTACTACACCGTTATCATCCTTACGACCGTTTGGTGTAATTCCACGTTGCTCGAGGCAGCTACAAAAGATTCACACTATTAGCAACCTCACGGTACATACCGTGACTGGCATACAAACAGTTCTGTCTGTTATCATAAGCTGAAAGCTATATTAACGTAGCTAATCTTTGGACAAACAATTTTGCCACTGCCGTCGATTCAAAAATATAAAGAACTCGCTTCAATCTTTCGAGATTTTACTCACTCAGTAACATAGTGGTCATTTGAAAAACTTTTAAAAAAGTCCTTTTTTTTGAAAAAAAACCTGACTATATCCTTTAAAAATCTGTTAAAAAGGCCGAAAAATTAAATCGAATGAAATGACTGAAAATTTAATTGGCTTAATTTAAGTAACAAAAGTAAGCAATTCAATCTACGACCGTAGATAAGCGGGCTTGAATATGATATCATACAATAACGGTCATATATTTCCATGGATATTAGCTGGTCAGTTCTAGAACATTCCGTCATCAAAAATTGAGCTGTTTCGTGCTGGCCTAGCTGGCCACAAACAATACACATCATTTGCAAGCACGCGATATACATCCGGTGGCGCCACTGAACAGTTTACTTAGTTTGGCTGACATGATACTGGAGTTGGAAGTGGGCATCAAAGTGCGCAAGGGCAGTGGAGAATGGGAAGCGATGACGGCAGCCGATGGTGTTGCGCCCGTCAACAATTTCTTGCATTCTCTGTTTTCCTCGTGTCACGTGACGGTGGCTAATCGGCTCATCTCGGATGCGGCGACATTTTATCCATACCGTGCTTATCTGGAATCATTGCTATCTTATGCGACCGATGCGCAGAATAGTCAACTGACATCGGCAGCTTTCTACCACGATACCGCACTGCGCTTCAACGATGAAACGCTTAGCAAGGGCGAAAAAAACCGCAAAGCTTTGTTTGATGGTGGAAATTATGTGCAACTTTCGGGCAAGCTCTTTGCGGATCTGTGTGACCAGAGCAAACCGTTGTGCACGGGTGTGCCAGTCAATATCCGATTAGTAGTCAGCCAACCGGAATTTTCTTTGCGCGTTTGGGATCAGGATGCTACAAAGTCCTTCAAACCATTCATCCGCAACGCGCGACTATCAATTCGACGATATATACCATCCCCTGATTTTCTAACGGCTGTGACGGGAGAATTGTTGAAAAAAACCGTAAAGTACCACATTGAACGTGTGATAATGCGTGTGTCCGATATTGCTCAAAAAACACAGAGCACAGTGGTCAGTAATCTGCAAATTGGACAAATTCCCAAAGTGGTCTTCATTGGATTTGTGGACAGTGAAGATTTTCATGGATCAAGTAAACGCAGTCCGTTCAACTTTCAACATTTTAACTTGACGCAAATCAGTGTGGAAGTGGACGGGCAAAGTTTTCCCAACAAACCGTACATGGCTGATTTTGAACGGAGCCTATCTTTGGAATGCTATGATGGACTACTAGATACGTTGGGCAATCGACCGAGTCTACAAGGAAGTCTCCCGTTCACGCGCACGCAGTACAACCAAGGATATACGCTATATGGGTTTGACCTCACGCCCGGACATACTGGACGCGGACCGTTAACTCTGATCAAACAGGGCAATTTAAGCGTGTCCGTTTCCTTTGGAAAACCATTGGAAAAAACCATCATGATGGTGTGCATGCTGGTGTACGACAGCGTTATTGAGATCAACCAACACCGTCAGCTGATTGCGGACTTTTCAACATGAACAGCCAGCAAATCAACGAGGCCTTGCAGGGCCATCCCATCACCAACCAGACTTTTCGTGGTGTTTTTGCCAGTAATGAAGTACCCCCGTCACTACAACCCTATCCCGCAGCGTGTGTGGTAAATACTGATCCGGCTGACCGAGAAGGAGAGCATTGGATTGCTTTGTATCAAGAAATGGATGGAAATATGGAAGTGTTCGACTCGTATGGCAAGAGGCTGGAATCTTACTCGTCAGACTTTGTTAGTTTAACTAAAGAGAATGAAATTGTCTTGCAATCCGAGCAGTTTCAATCAGAACTCAGTACCGTCTGTGGCCAATATTGTCTGTTTTTCATTTTACGACGATGTAGTGGTGAGTCATTTACGAATATTGTGCATTTGTTTACTGATAATAAGGCGAGCAACGACAAGATGGTTTGCCAGTACGTTAACTGTTTTTTCAATTTAAAAACAACCATGGTTGATGGAAATCTCATCCGGCAGATTTGCAAACGATTAATAAAATGATCAGCAAAAAATGGGCAGCGCTATTGAACAGTAAATGTGACAGATTATAGGATACAAAGATAATATAATACAAGAACCCACTTAACATTCGTCAGTTAGCATACGACCTACACGGTCACGCAATTCCTTTCCGTTGCTGGCTAAAAATCCAGCAACGTTTAGCTCCAGTGCTTGTTCCACGCCCAGTTTGTCTTTGCCAAATAAAATGCCATACACCATCCGCAATTCAGTCAGGCGCTCCATAGCAGCATTCCATTCGCCGTCGGTTGGGCGCTCCTTACCCGTTCCACCCGTTCCGTCATCGGTCAGCTTGACCAGTCCTACCATTGCTTCCGCTACTTCGCTCAGCAAATCTTTGTACATTAGTCCTTCCTTGACAGGGTCCGGTTTTCCCAGTTCTTTCTGAATGGCTGCCATGTCTTTAAACAGCTGCATGTCTTGCAACAGTTCCTTCAAGGCATCATAGCACCGCTCTCCAAAGGAAATGCCATAGCGCGTAGGGTATATATCGCCAGCTGGTTTTTGATGATAGCGACGGATTGTTGCCACATTGGCACTGTTGAAGCGGTTCCATCCAAAATACATTCCACCATACAAACGGTATAATGGGGTTAACTTGCCCGTTTCGGCTGAAGAGGCCCGCGTCGCTTCATCCATATCCGTAGTACCCGTCAGCATCAGAGCAACCAAACGTAAAAATCCAGGTTTGTTGAGGGCAATGCTTTTGCCCCAAGTCGGCTTCCACGAATGATCCGGTTGCTCTTTCCACTCACCAAAAACCACGCGGACAACATGCTGGTCGGTCGTGCTGCGGGCAACGTAAACGAATTTGTCGTTGCCTAGACGGTAGACGGGGCGGCCTTGCTGGGTAAAGGCAAATCGCTGGTGAGGTTTTGCATCCTCCAACTTTGGCTTCTTGACGTCATCCACTTTAGGCTTCCGAGGTCGCTTGTTCGACGGTGGGGGCAAATCCAGAAACTCCATTTTAGAAAAAAGAACTGAGCTTTCTGAAGAAACTTGTCAGCTTTTTATAATTGGCATACGGAACGTAGTAACAATGGATAGTGATACTGGTAATTATTGATTGTTACCGACCTGTAACACTCGAATGGGTACTAGTAACTCTGAAAAGTTACCGGTGTAATGTTTCTTAATGACACCTGTAACATTCAAAAGTGATACCTTCCACAGCTATAAATAGCCGTGTGACGCAGCAGTGGTCATTCATTCTGATCCAAAATGGGCACTCCTTGTATTCTAGATGCTGACTGGTTTGTTATTGCCGGGAAGAAATACATTAAGCAGCTTGCTTTTTACTGCCCGGAAAAAGAACAGCAGGAGTTGTACACTTTTACACTCCCGCGCGTTGCTGCCAAATACGGTTCATTATTGCGCACCCAAGCTTGCCACTCCCACGGATTGTTGTGGAATACCGAAGGAGAATATCGTCATAACCAAGTGACCTGCGTCCTGGAGGATATGTTCAACAAAATTGGCCGACTGAATCAAATCCGTTTCTTCGCCAAGGGACTGGAAAAGTGCCGCCTCCTGGAGCAGTACTTATTAGAAGTCGCCAACCTGGAAAACTTTGGATGCCCGCCGTATCATAAGCTGACCACCCTCCCCGTGTCCACCTTGCGCAAAGCCGTGCGTTTCACGCTGTGGTACTATTGCGATGCCAAAAATCACCAATGTCGTTGCCGTTGCGGATTTAAACACTACCCTGGACCTGAAGAAAATTGAAAAGGCGCTGCCAATGGCTCAGTATATACCCCATCGATTTTCTGGATTGCTTTTGCGCATCTTGGAACCATACAAAGCGCACTGTCAACTTTACCGCAATGGCAAAATCACCGTCAACGGAGCCCGCTCAGAAGAAGCAGCCCACGAATTGCTGCAACATTTTACTAACATGTTAACCGCTATTGGATATCAATGTACCATTTCTAAATTTCGTATTGTGAATATTGTGGCTAATCATACTTTTCCTCAACATGTGCAAATTGAAAAATTCAGCAAGCTTTTCCGTTCAAAGTATACACCTGAATTGTTTAGTGGTCTAGCCATCAAGTGTAGCGTTGGCCGTGCTGTTCTGTTTCCTTCTGGCAAATGTAATTTTCTTGGTCTGAAATCCGCTACTGATTTACCGAAAGCGGTGGAACGCGTCGAAACCATGCTTGATCAGTTCAAATAAATTTATTTCAACTTGCAGCCATAAGGCAAAATGTTGTATTCCGCATCAACAATGCGACGTTTGTTATGTCACTTGCAGGCGTTTTTCCATACTAGTGGTACATATAGTCAGATCTTCTTTAACTCGCTTAAGAATACCCGGATATTGAATATTAACAGAAGTGCGGTTTTCCAGCATCTCTAACATGGTGCTAAAGTTAATCTGCTCACTCGTTTGTCCATTGAACGTAAAACCTTTCACTTTGACGACAGCATCTCCATCATTGGTGACGTAGGCATACGTTTTTGCACCCAAGCTAACAAACTGCGTGATGTATTGTCCTGGCTTTAGTTCGTTGGTCAGGTCGCCCAGAAAAATTCCGGTGGGTGGGTCAATTAGTCCCGGCTTGGTCACGAAAAAAATTGAGTCTGCAAAAAATTTCAAATGGTGGTAGTGAATTTCAAAGAAAAATCTTCTCGGAACAATTTCGTTTACCTGTATCAAAGTACAGCAACCGGTCTTTTACCATATCCATAAAATTGTACAAATGTAGTCGTGCCCAACATATTGTAAATCTGCAAAGCAAACCAAGCTCATTGACAATTACAAAAGAACATTTTTTTCTGTACTTACGCCGCCAAAATCACGTTGGTATTGGGATTGCGCTCCACAAATCCGCTTTCTTTGGTGTACGAGAGCTGCACAACGTCTTCCGTAAACAATTCCCAGGATTGTACGTGGTACTTTCCGGACAGCAGCATGTCGTAGAATTTGCCTGGTTCGTCAACGTACTCAGTGTTGGGCTTGTTATCTTGCATTCCCAAACGTCCCCAAAAACTGTAAAAACAACGACGAGGTGCGGATCATGTCGCAACATAAAGTAATTCGTTTACCTGTTCAGGCAGAGCTTGGATAAGGATCGTAATCCCAGATTTGTGCTGATCTTCTCATATTCCAAGTTAACTTTTTCATGCTCCTTGAAATTCGCTATGTGTTGCTCTTTTGCTCTTCGGTTTGAACATGGGGTGGCCATCCACTGGATTCCGTCTTGATTTTCAAAAACTTGTTGATGTATTCTTCGAAAAGGCCTTCGTATTGGTCGAAATGCTACACTTCGTAAATTTTTGTGACCGCGTAGCCAAGGTCCAAAGCAGCCATAATTTCTGGCGTACACCATGTTCCGGTTAAAATGCGCTCATCGTCCGTGTGCTCGCATCTAGCATTCTGATGGTTGTCCACACAGGTGCGACACAAAGGGAATGTTAACTTGCCACCGGAGCGGTAGGGAAGCACGGGAAGCTGCAGATTCCCGGGCGGTAGGACTTGACATTGTACTAATCCAAAGTATTTCCGAATGTCTTCAAAGTCTTTGGTTATAATGGTTGGAGTGCCAACTGGGTATCGCTTGTTTTTGTTGACGTACGGATACTCGCTGTTGACGTCGAAATAACTTATCTTCTCGTCATCGCTGACTTGATGATAAAGCTTGACAGCATTGGTCCGACCGCCGTAGAAGGCATCGCGGGGGTTCAAGGGGGAAATAAATGATAGTTCTTGGACGAGTGCCTTCATTTTGGAATCTGCCTTGACGTGGTCGTAGTACTCGTGTTCCCAGATGACGGTTAATCCATACCCCTGGCTGCGGATGTACTTTTCTCGCTCCATTGTTTCGTTGTATATTTCCGACATTGGCAGATTGCGCAGCGGATGTATTGTATCCTTAGCATGGCACCGAGGGCATCCATGCTACCAACACCCGTAGAATTCGTAGACGTGGTTAACATCCTGGCGGTATCCGTCAACAAAGTATGGTCCAATTTGATGCTCGGCTCCGGTTAATACAGACTGTATTTCGCAGTTTTCTTGATTTTCCATCCACGTCAGCCATTTCTTTGCAACATCGGACTGATTGCGGTTCTTGGCATGAATACGTTGTGGAGGCAAACCGATTTGGTCAGGCTTCAGGATGAAGGATCTCCAGAATTGGCTGCACACTCCCGCAATAGTTGTTGCCGATACAAAGGGGCACAATCCATTGCTGATTTCTTGGAAGAGACGGCGAAATTGCTGACAGCACAGTCGCAGAACCGTCACATCCATCCGGCAGTAATCCACAATTTCTTTTCGAAAGTCAAAAACGTTGTTCTTTTCTCTGGCTTCCGTCTCGTACCACTGCAAGAAAGATGCCTTGGATTTCTTGCTCATGCTGGAAAAACCGTACTCTTCTGGGTCAGGAAAAGGGGAGACTGTATCCCAATTTTCTTCTCGGTTGAACCGATGCGGGAAAGTGCCTTTTCCAATATCCGGGATACCAAAGGTCGCCGGCCATTTCGCCAAGCTTTGCGGATTATAGTTGCGGAACCGAATGTTAAACTCCATCACGTCCAATCGTATTAACTTTCCACCATTGAAGGTAACTTTCGGAACAATCCCGTTTTCTAACAGCCAGTGCAGAATAAAGTATCCATCAAAAGCCTGAAAATACCAGATTATTATATGTGCGGTTTTGGATGATGTTTTTGCTCTACCTTGAAATTGTGAGCAATAATATAATAGTCCCGGTGTCGCTCGCTGAATAGAAACGTGCACAAAGAATCCATGATGTCACTGCCTAACGGTACATCGTCGTCAGGAAAGACCCATTCCCGTCCATCATCGTCCTGGACAACCTGCGATTTTTCATAGTCATCATAATTTATAACCCGTATATCGGAATGTTACTTACCGCAAGGTTAGGCACCAGCTCCTTATTTTCGGCCACATAGGTCTCCAGGTCAAAGTATAAAAACTTGGCATTTTTGTGTTCTTCCAGCTCTTCTTCCGTCACTTTCCGGGGCTTCATGAAGCATTCATGGGAATCAGGCAAATCATGACATTTGCAGTTTTGACAGTAAACTTTTCCGCATTGATGTTGGGTGGAACCTTTGCGGTTATTTAGCGAAACCAACCGGTAACAATCTTGGCAGATAAACAACGACTGGCAAATACTTTTTCGTTTTTTCTGCTGAGCCGTGGGACCGATCTTGTGCTCCGCAAAACACCCTTGGCCATAAAATTTTTGGTGACAGTCTGGACATTCGATAATATTATCTTTGTCCGATTCGCAATTGGAGCGCAAGCATAACTGGCATGTAGATTCGCATCGGTGGTCGGACTTGTGGTCATACCCTTTTTCGCAATCGTGACACCAGTAGTTCCTTTGGAAAAACGCGAGCAAAGACTTCAGAAGATCAAAATGATGATCGTGATGCAGCAGAATAATATGCTTGTCTTGCTTTGGTCCACTGAATACAATACGATTAACGTGGTCTGCACTGACGATTATAATCTGGTAGGTTGGAAGTGCCGCTTGGAAACTTTTTGCGTCCGCTAGTGTGTATTCTCTTTCCTCCAGTCCAGCTTTCTGAATGAGTTCTTGGGCTTCCTTTGTCTGCAGTTTCTTTCTTTCTTTTATGCGACGGCACTGCAGCTTATCACCATCAGCATACGCCTTTCCCACCACCAATGCTCTGGCCATGCAGATCTTGTCTGAGTTGGTAATTAAGATAACTGATTGCATCCTTTGTAGTCTTTTTTTCAGTAGAACGGGAACTTCGACACAACTGCCTTGAGGTATTTCCGTATGCTGTACAAAAACTTCAAAATGTTTATCGATCAGGAATTCCTCGTATGAATTGAGCACACGCTCAACTTCTGACATCCACCGGTTGACCGTGAGTTGAGATTTTTGAATGGGCGGCGTCCAGATGGGATAATTCAAGCTTTTGGAGTCCAGTCGAATGCGGACCATTTATTTGGCATTAATGGTGTCCAACACGTGATCTAGGACGTACTAAAGAATTTCCATAATGGCCGTAGGCACACCGGAAAAAGGAATTCTTTCCAGATCAGTGACCTGCATGATAAATTTATCTATCACTCAGCTTTTGAGGTGACCTTAACGTGCTTGCCTTTACTGAATAACACTTCGAATGCAGCCGAAACTTTTTCCAAATTCTGGAACCGGCTTCGTTGATGTGAATGTGCTCAGTAATATCACCGGGAAATACTGAATCTGCAAAATTTAAACTAAATCTTCAAAAAAATGATTTTAATACTGTAACTTACCAGTCTCCTCATCCCTTGACCTTTTGAACGAACTTGGACAGGCTTCTTCGCTACGACGTTTAATTCTTAATTTTTTCGAATTCTCCATATTTAAAATCGTAATACACTCTAGCAAAATACCAAAAACCTTATTGCATAATAATTTAGGCTAACCTGAAAAACTTGAATGAAGCAAGCCATACATGAAATAGGTGCTTTTATACCTCTCCAATTTGACAAAAATCGAATATACCTGATAACACTCTTCTATTACCGCGGTAATTATTGATAGTTATACGGTAATTATTGAAAGTGACGCAGTATTTATTCACCTTTATATAACTTTTCCATTTACGTTTCGTACGGAATACAATTTTAGTGCAAGGTTTGTCAGGTAACCACTGAAAACCATCTTAATGATAAAAGATGAAATTAAAAAAAACAATCTCGTTTGCAGCAGTAGATCAACTAAGGCTTCCCATACCTTAGTGTAGAACAACTAAAGTTTCCACCTGTGCACGAACTAAGTTTTGAAACCTTAGTAAAAAACAAATGTTCTTCCAGTACGGGATTGTACTATTTCACGTACGCGCCCCGCACATGCACCGTCGTGGCTCCGCCACGACGATACATGCACGCCCACACGCTCTAGTAAATTATAACCTAGGTCCAAAAAAATAGATCCGTAAATAATGCCCTAGGTCCAAACAATTACACCCGTAAATAATGCCCTAGGTCCAAACATTTAGACCCGTAAATAATGCCCTAGGTCCAAAAATTTAGACCCCCGGATAAAAAAAACGCGTCAGGTTGGATGCGGATACTACTGATCTTCTCTCACTGTAATTCAAAGCGCGATCTTTTTCTAAAAAGTTGGACTGCAAAAGATGCGGGACACTTCAGGGAACCAGGAAAACATTAAATTTGCTCATATATGTTGACGGATGACTTGCACTAATTTTTTGAAGAAACTGTCCGAACTTGTCGTGGCCAGGCTGTAGCATGTCGTTATCATTTGCAATGGGAATGATTTGATTATTTTTTACTTCTAAATTGTCATTTCGTCAGGTAATATTAAATCAGCGGCATCGGCACAATAAACAGAAAAAGCAAGTGAAATCTAAATTACAAATTGACTTTTAACATTTTTGACCATTCCGCTAACATCTACAGTACAAGGCAAGCGGCATCTCTTTCCCCTCCCTTTAGTACCGTTTATCTCTTTCTCCGGCTGCATCGCTGCCGTGTGTGAACGCACACGTGAGGCTTTTGATTCAGCCTTTTCACAGGCGGCACAGCGCTCTTATCTGTACACTAGATCAGTAGCATCAGTTGCGTTATCTGCTGCAGCCGAGAAACCGGTTTAGATCTGAAATGGCTGAATGCAGTGTGTCACGTGTGCGCTCACACACGTCAGCGATGCAGCCGGAGAAAGAGATAAACGGTACTAAAGGGAGGGGAAAGAGATGCCGCTCGCCTTGTACTGTAATTGGGGAGTTGTCGTAGCTATAAACCCGAAATAATGTGATTATAGTTGTGAACTTGTGGTAATAATTATCATATTTTAGACTGTTTATTATTATCTGTTCAGTGGTAAATTTCTGAATTTTTTCCGAAATACTCCGTAAAAAACTGAATTTAACCGAAGTGTGTGCGTTTTTTTCGTGTTGCTGCAAAAGCCGGGCACTATAATGGAATATGGATGTGTATTGTTGTAGTTCTGTGTGTAATGTTATTCGAAGGATCCTGCGAATAAGAAACACGAATGGATCTTCTTACACGAGACACCGGAAGACGACGGGTGAATTAATTGGTCTCCGTGCCAGCGTTTGAGGGGCCCTATGTAGTCTTGTATAATATTTTTCTGCTTACCTGCGACAGGCACGAAGATGTGGACGGCGGTAGCTATTCGTGCTTCCTCGTGGAGGATAAACTCATGTGGTACGACACCAAGAATTTAATTGCCTTTTAGGAAGGTCACGATGCCATCAAGAAATTATCGTTTCGGCCAGTGGCGGTAAGTTTCTATTTGTTATTAACATTTTCGTACGTAATTTGTAGTAATTTTTAATTTTGTACGTTGTACGATATTCAAAAATTATTTTAATTCGATTGTAAATAATTTGTTATCTTTTGGTAGAATTGTTTTGGTTCCATTTGTAGTACCTGAAATGAATACACACTTCTCGATTTTTTAGACATTTAAAGTTTGGGTAGACAAATCGAAGATTATGGAGGGCGGACGCATGTCGGTAGAGCTGCTAGTTGGTCACACTCTTGCCTTCGTTGGCAAAGACCAAAATGGTGTGATTCCCGTGCAGGAGAACCAGGTAATTCCACCTCTTTTGGGGGTCAGTTAAGTTCATTCAAAGTGGAAATGAAGTTCATTGTTAACTGTTATCTGTGTCATATTTGAAAATGGTAATATAATGTTCAATGTATTCTCTACAACTGCCAAACACGAACATTTCTATCGTTATTAGTTTTTACGGCAAAAAAAAATTTACTGGAAAAGCGTAAAAAGAAGCTTGGATGTGTAGCTTGAAACTTGTTTGCTGCGTTTAAAGTTTTTTTCTATTGTGGAGTTGGATTATTTTAATTTTGAGTAAAGTGGTAGAACAGTGGACTAGTCTGGAAGAAAATGCATAACTTGTAAGTGCGCGATACTGTGCATAAGCTCGCCGTTAAATTTGTTTGGGCATTCTGACTTTGTTGTGCAAATAAATGACAATTAATTTCTACAAATATAAATATTTATTTTTCCGTTAAGTAAAGATTAACTCCTTCCAGGAAAAAAATGAAATTGGAGTGGTATTAGGCCACGTGGTTTTATTTTGATTTGCTTTTTTAAGAAGATTTCAGTTCTGATAAAAAAATGATTAATTCATAATAATTAATGAGTATATTTTGAGCTCTACGGAAAGCTCTGAGCGTATCTGTTCTGCTGGATGTATAATAAATTCGCAGATGTCAGGGCGGGCTTATGATTCAGCCCTTCTGTCATTGGTTGGTTTTGGGTTTTTTCCTGTCTGGGCATTTTCATGCGTTTTGATGGCTTTGTAAGGCAGCTGCGCTGCCTACAGAGACCAGTTGGTTTTTGGCTGGCGCGCAAGGCGCGGTGTGTGTTAGATTTCGGCATTAAAGCCTTCATCCGGGTTTGCGTTTGTTCCGCTGTCGATGGAGGATGCGCGCCTAGCCAGCGCCATCTGATATGGTAGCAGCTCACGGAGACGTTCGTGTGTTGCACAGCGGGCTTGCCCCGCTCACGGGCCACCTCTGAGTTGTGGATCAGATCGCGTGATCGCGCCCTGTGCCACCCCCGGGTACCGAGCTCACCCGCTCCTCCGGATTTCCCGTCAGTCGCCGGAGTTGTGCCGTCACTCCCGCAGAACGCGGAGGAAACTGCCTCTCCCAGAAGGGGATGGAGATGTCGCCAAGCCAGAAGTGCAGCGATGGACGGACAAACCCACAGCCACACCGTACCGATGTCGGATGCCGACGGTGGACGCAACCCGGACCAGCAGGAAACCTGCGGACCTTCACCACCACCAACAGCCATGCCAACCCCGATCCCCACGGCCGGATCGACCACCATCACCACGCCGAGAAATTCACCCCACCAAAACCCTGCCCGCCTTACCTGGGACAGCGACCTTTCCCCTGGCGGAGCAGTGGAATTGCCCCACCGGAGCAGCGTAATTTTGTGTTTGCAGGGTCAAGGCCGTACCTGTGCCCCAAACCCCAGCGCGATTTTCCCCAGACGGTGACCTTTCTCCAGACGGGATAAAATGCGGAATCTACCGATTTCCGCATCCGACCCTGGATTCTGTCGCGACAGTGCGTTGACCTAGGCACTGGACCGCGTGAAGCCGAACCAGACCGACCGAACCCGAGCCAAACCGACCGAGAACCACTCCTAAACCGAACCTGATCCGAGCCGACCAAACCTGGACCGAGCCGGACCAAACCTGACTGAACCAGATCCCATACCGGACCACGTGAGCCGACCGAACTGGAACCGAGCCACCCGGTAGTACAGTCTATTAGACATAGTACAGGGACCGTACCGGTCCCTGTATCCACTGTTGTTTTACGGCGCATCACGCCATTTACCTGCACTTCGCAGGAGCTCAGTGTTAGACCGTACAGGGATGTCAGGGCGGGCTTATAATTCAGCCCTTCTGTCATGGTTGGTTTTGGGTTTTTTCCTGTCTGGGCATTTTCATGCGTTTTGATGGCTCTGTAAGGCAGCTGCGCTGCCTACAGAGACCAGTTGGTTTTTGGCTGGCGCGCAAGGCGCGGTGTGTGTTAGATTTCGGCATTAAAGCCTTCATCCGGGTTTGCGTTTGTTTCGCTGTCGATGGAGGATGCGCGCCTAGCCAGCGCCATCTGATACAGAAAATTCCGCGTCAGTTTGTTTTTCAATTTTTCCGTGGTTTTTCTATATTTGTTTGGTTGCTGTGTGCATAGAAGTCGCTGAATGTGAACGGCAAGAGACGGCCGGTGCCGGCACCAGAGAAGACGGCCATCAACGCCTTGTTCGACGCGCGGCGCAACCAGTCGTGGCTGTGCGTGGAACACGACCGCCAGCTGATCGGCCGGAGCGTAAACGTGTACTGGAAGGACGGCGACAAGGAGCGCTGGTACACCGGTTGTTTAAAGGACTTCAACAACACGGACGGCACCGTCGTCGTCATGGACGACAAAAGACAGGTCAACGCAGTTGGCTCGTTTTTTGCAGCTCAATTTGATAATAAGAAATGCAATGATATTAACGTGTACAGTTTTCTTTAGTGAATAACATTAGAGATTTTTTATAAACAAATTAGTGGATAAAACTGAAGATTTTTACAAAGAGATTTTACCCCAGCAAAAGCTCAAATCATGTGCATAGATAAAGGGGCGACTATAAAACCCGAAAACATAAATGCTGTGATTTGTTACATTTTTTGGTATAATTTGTTTAGAAAACCAAACTGTTGCGGTGTTTTCAGCTTTTCTTGTTTCTTTGTATATTTGTCCTTGTAACAACTGTGGTTGGAAATATGTTGATAAGAGTGATGAAAGAATGGGGCATTTTAGGATCGGAAAGTGGATCCGCGTCTGCAGGAGATTTAGATCATCAAGGATCTAGGGCGGGCCAGCACGAGCAGCATCTCGTTCTCCGCGACACCGGCGGCGGAAGCAGCGGGGCGTCACCCGAGTCCGCGCGCCCCCAAGCCGGAGGCCAGTGCACGCAAGCATCCGCCGCTGCCGGCCAAACCGGCGCCCGCCGAATGCGGTCTGGAAGCGCCCATGGAGAGCGTGCTGGAGAGCGAAGAGACGGATAAATCAGGTACGGTCCGGCGCCGGGTTTTGCAGGACTGGCCGGTGTCAGTTAGCGCACTCATCCACGATTGCCGGCTAATTGTATCGTGGATTTGCAACCTTCCGCGGTTAACCGTTAAGCTGTTTCTACGTTCACCGAGTGTTCGAAGAGTCTCGCATACGCGCATGAAGATGTTAGCACTGTCCTTGTATCAAAATGAATGATCTTTCGGTTTCCGCTGAAAGCGGATGGAAAGTATTTCTTGGTGTTTATTAGAACATTCTTGTTAGACCGCCGTTCCACCCAGATTGAATCCGGGCTTTAAGCTACGCGCCACGCTGCCTGTGCATGCTGGCGACGTGCTGGCTTTATGTACAGCCCTCCTCGGGCGTCCAGACGACACAGCGTTTGTGTCAAGCGGACCGGTCAATACTGCCTGCGAGTGTTCGGAAAACAGTGAATGCATTCCTTTCCCTTATCGCTACCTGCTTAAGCCTGACTGTTTTTTATCATGCAGGTTTGAATACACAATGTTTAATGTATTGGGTCCTGCGGAGGACGCGATATTGTGCATTTCGGGGCTTCCTCCGTCCCCCACGTACGTTCACGGGCGCCTCTTCGTAGGGACCCACGATATAAACGTGTACGTCTTCGATCTAGTGGACGACAATCCTATGCAGGCAAAATACGCGCTGAGGGGACATGCTAATGCAGGTAAGTGAGTACTAGCTTGAAAAAATATATATACCGAACGATTGGTCTTGGAATTGTTTATTTCTTGCCTCGAAATACTTTTTGATTTGTTTCGAAATATTCTTGAGTTGAATATGTAACTATTGAATATTTAATTTTAGAAGTATTCCTCGTTTTTTAAATTTCTAATTAAGAGTTTTTGTTTAATTTTGAAAATATTACCTTATTTTTTTTAATTTTGAAAAGGCGAAAAATTTTGTTAAAAGTTTTAAGTTAAAAAATTAGGTATTTTACTGTTGATTTTATCCTTTTAGTTGCTTCAGTAATGGTTTAATGGGTGAATTACGGAAATATTTCTATAATTGTAGAATAATTATTAATTAAGTTTGAAATTTTATTGATAGTTATTTGGGAAAAAATCTCCTGTTAAGGATTTTGTATTATGTAGTTTTGTAACTACTGTTAATTATTATTTTGTTATCATCACATATTAATCATTAAATATTTTCGCTTGGAAATTTGTTTGGTAAATTTTTGCAAATATCCTGTTTAAGTTCGTACATAATGATAGTTTGACGTGGACAGCCTTAAGTGTATTCTATGTATTATTTGCACTATTGATCGGAAAATATTCTTCAATTATAGTTTTCTAAAACTTGCCTGGAAGCGTTTTTTCATTAATTTGCAGAATATTTCGTCACAGTTGGCGAGGACGTGTCGCTGCGGGTGTGGCATACGGAGGACCCGGAGGCGCTGCAAACCATCCCTCTTCCGGCTGCCTCTAAATGGGCGGTGACGATTCTCACCAACGGCAATATCGTTGACGGTGGATAGTAATGATCACAATAAATGCTAGAAATAAATTTAAAATGAATTTAAAATTATACCATAAAAATTATCATAAATAGATAACGAAATATAACTAAATAGATCTGAATGTAAACATGTACATTTGATACAGTAATAAATAACAAATAATTAGTGATTACAGTGTTATAGTAAATTTAACATGGCAGCAGACTATAAGCTAACAGAACGGCGAAGATTCGCTCTGAAACAAAACATAGTATCTCCCCCATGTATTCGTGCGAAGTACAATAAATTTTAAAACATATACATATTTTATTTTTTTATTTAGTTTTTACATGAATTTTGTACATCTTTCAATTTTGCAGGCGGGGATTTGTTCACATTTTTACCCAGAACTCCAACCGTTACGCCAACGCCGACCTGGTAGCAGCGTACGGGGGCGACCTCGCGGAAGCTGCCTTGGCCTTCGATGACAAGCCGCGGTACGGCTGTTACGGTAGAACAGGCGCTACCGGAAAATCCGGCAGAACAGGCACTGCTGAATTTTCCGGCAAAACAGGCACTGCTGGCGCCTGGCGACAACCACGAAGAAAGCAAAATAATCCGTCGCGGCGCGGCTTTAGAAGTCCATGTATGGAACGCCATTCAGCAGCAGTGGCAGAAAGTCGGGGATGTCACCGAAACAGCCGGAGAAAAGGTCAACAAGCCAAGAAAGACCATTAATAAAGGCCGTGTACGTTGATGCTGGTGGTGTTGTACGCTCGACGAGACGCCTATCAGTAAAAATAGAAAAAATAAATAACTAAATCAGACTAAAAACTGACTGAAAATCAAAATAGTTAGAATCAATAAAAGAATCACACAGGGAAAAATACTCTGTAATTAATAAATAATAAAAAAATTTATAAAATAAATTTAAAGAATTTGTTGAATAATTGGACTGATTAACTAATCTTTAACCCATCAAAGTCGGCTACCAGAAGGAGTGCGAATATCAACTTGAAAACTGGCACTTCTGAACCAAATAATTCAATCAAGAAAAACTGATTTTTTTAGAATTTTCGTGACCATAGGTCAAGCAGGGCGATAGCCTGACCAACTGACAGGGATGGGCATCCTGCCATTTGGCAGGATACACGCCGAAATTTATAAATAATTATGGGAGGGTCGCACTGGCGCAGGCAGACACCTCAACGAAAGGCCTCGAAAAACTCTTCAATTCGCAAACAGTGTTGGGGTCATCGAGTTGACCAGTGGTCATTAGTAATAAAAATTGTTAAAAACTGCATTTTTGGGCCTCCACACGTTAAAACATATTCAGTGTCCACGCTCTTCCATAAAAAAAAACGATATAAAACGATCCTCAGTTAGATAAAATTTAGAGCCCCCAAACAGTATACTGTACTGCCGTATACGGCATACTGTACGGCACAACAGTACGTAACCGTAGTGAAAATTGGTACTGTAACGAAAGTGCCGTACGTAACCGTAAGCCAAAACACGGTTTTACAATGGGCTTGCCGTATACGGTACTGCCGTATACGGTATACCGTACGGTCAATCCAGTTATTTCTGCCGTAACCGTACCGTAGCCGCAGGAGCCGTAAGCGGAAACCCTACGTAGCCGTACAAAAATTTGCTGCTGTTTGGGGGCTCTAAGATAAATACAACAAATGCATCCTTACAAGCGCATATGCGGTGTTTGTCGCTTATGTCCGCGTTATACTGCATGTAGACCAAGCTTCGCTGTTGCCGCTGACTGTTTTTAGCCGATTGTTGGTAAATTTTTAGTGAATAGAGGTTACAGAGGGTACTCTACAAACTGTCTCAACCATCACTAGGCAGTTCATAAGCCGGTAGCCACAGCGACAACTACCCGCACCGCATCACCTACGTCCTATAGTATACGGTGTATGCCGCACCGGCACTGAAAATCTATACCCGCATGGTCATTTCCGCAGTTATCCGTTATAGCTCGGTAACTCAATGAAGCCTATTCGTGACGGAATGCAGAAATGCTGTACAGTTTCAAAACTGGCTAGGTATCTGAATAATATCCATGAAATACGTTATACATCTGTTCAAATCTTATCATTTCCTCTAACCCTGGACTACGCATTCGTTTCTCGAATCTAAATCTAAATTTTAACATTGCACTCTGAAAAAGCTTTGGTGCCGACAAACGGAAACACTTTTTGGTCCATAATTCGCGTTAGTTCTTGTTTTTTGCACTTTATTCGTAAATAATCTTTCAAATTTTCCCACCAAAAAGCGGTTTTTGAAAATTTTCGTGCTTACTGACCACTGGTCATTTCTATGACCATCGAAATAACAGCATTTATAGCACTAGTTTTGCTCGATTTTCTGGTTCCATGTGTGGCTTTCCACTAAACTTTTGAAATTTTATATCGAATTTATAATTTTATTGTTAAAGTAGCACCATGCCCATCCCTGTCAAACTTGGCAGGTAATTTTAGAATCACTGTGGTTGTCCGCTGTCCAGTTATTTTTCGTGTCATTTGATGATTTCGCAATAAGGGCCGCTAGGTTGGCCCGAATAATTTATCTTGGAATTATCTAATGCTGGAAGGCTCCAGGGGCAACCAAGACCTTCGCGAACCAAAAATTCCGGATTTTGGGCACCTTTGGTCACTTGGTGCATGTCCAGGCCACATTGTATTTGACAGTCCGATTTTTTAAAATGACGCTCAACATCTCTACTGTGAAATAATACTAAAGAATATGAGCTATCTGGGTTACGGGCTCTTGAAGAAAAAGAGTTCCCCACCCTGCCATTTGACAGGGATGGACGGGAACGGGTTAAATGAATTAAAATTAATTTGCCGGTACTGTTGCAGGAGTTTGATTTTGTCTTTTCCCTAAAGTCGGGTAACGATAAGAGACAGTTGAAACTACCGTGCAACGTAACGGATGATCCTGTGACGGTTAGCGCAGAAATTGCTGGATGATATCGAACTGCCAGCCACCGGCCTAGGCAAAATGGTTTCCTGCATCCGGAAACACCCTCGACGAGCAGAGGCCGCTGCGAGCACTCCCGGCAAGCGAGATCTGGATGGCCTTGGATTCTTCCTGGACACCGATGAGCGGAACTATAGTTTTGCCAGTTTTAACGATGGCGACGTGGACGAACTGTTGGGTAATTGCCAATATTTGTGCCATTTGATCGGTTAATAAAGTAGTTGATTCAATGAACAAAAAAAAAGAAGAAATTGTGAAGAAATTTCATATTATTTTCGAAAGAAAAAACCAGTGCTTAATTGAATAATTTACATTCAATCAGTACGTTTACCAAAAGGTTACGGCGAACGCCCTGCGTTCACATCATCTAAATAAAAACTTCGTTTTAATTTCTTTATTGAATAATAAATCAAATTTTATTTTTTTTGTGTTTCTCTAGGGAGCTAAAGAAGGCCTGCCAGACACTGGGCATTCTGTGGGAAGAAGACTCTGTCGCCTTTTTAGCTCCGTACCTGGATACAGCGGTGTCCCCCGATCCGTTTTCCGACAAGTTGGTGGTCTTGCTCTACACAGTCTTGGCGGAGTTTCCTCAAGGTATCAACCTGCTGCTAGCAGCTCTCTTGGGAGAGACCTTGGATTAGCAAATCCATAAAAAGCTCAGTGACATAGAAGCAACTGCGAATGAAAAAGTACATAAATTAATATTAAACAGAGCAACGACAATAAAAGAAACTAGAGTAATACGATAAGAACATTTAGCAAAAATGCCGGGTTGCTCAGCAAAGTGTCAGTCTTTTATTTAGACGTACTGGTTCCAACTGCTTAGCTGACATCACATCAGTTTCATTCGAAAGAACTATGTTTACAGGATGCGAAAAATAAAGTAAATTGACACTGTACAAAATCTGGCTTTTCTCTGAATTTTTTTAAAATGGATGGAGACTGTACTGGAAAACAAATTGGATATCCCATTTTTGAATTGAAAAAAGAACTTTTCTAAAAACATCTATTATTATGTACGCTACACTATAATTTTACGTGGGAGGGTGTTTCTTGTTATTCTTCAGAAAGGAGCTGTGACATACTTTTGGAAAAGGGACGGTAAAACTCCACTTTCCCTGGAGAACGTTTCTTGTGCCCGGCGCATTTAATTCCCGTGAAGTCGTTAGCAGGTTTTTTGAAAATAATTTTTGTAATGGTGCTGCAAAATCAGGTACGTATTATTCATGTTATTCATGGAAGGGCAATCTTTCGCTACATTTACTAATTTTGTTATATTTTAACTTATTTTACTTTAATTTAACTTGCGTTTTTGAAAAACAGTGATTTTAATTATTTCAAAAGATCAGATAAAAACAAGCATTTTTTATAAGTCACAAAGTGCGTCGAATGTATAGTGATCTAGCTCATGCACAAGGCCAATCCCTGACTTTTCTACTAAAGATAGTGTTCCTTTTCTACATGAAACTGTAAAAAAATTGAAATATTTTGCACGAAAAAAAGTGACATGAGATTTTTCTCTTGGAAGCTGGGATAGAATGCAGTAATTTTACCATGAATCAAGTGATGGCATTACTAACAAATTAGCGATTACGGCTTATTTTTTCAGGATACGTTTTATTATTTTTTGTAGATAATAAAGTTATTTGTTGAACGAGTCAATTATGAAATTATTATTGAAGAAATCTGTTCACGGTAGAGCCCTGCACGAGCAGCAAAAGTGCTGCTCGACTCGCTCGTTTGAGCTTTTCAAAATTTCCTGCTCGCTCAGCTCGGTCGCGCTCCTACCTCTGCTCGCTCGGCTCGCTCATTTTTCAGCTTTTCTTTTTTCCTGCTCGCTCAACTCGCTCGTGCTTATTATGGTCCCAGATCGGCTCGCTCGCAAGATCGGCAATGAAAAATTAATTATACACGGAAAATAAAATTTTTTGTGCGCGACTAGCATTTCACAAAATTTATTTTGCCGCTAAGAGCACTTTTGTGGACGATCTGCGCTTTTTCTGTTTCACCTCCACACTGTTCCGCTATTTTATGGCAGTTTCGTGTTTTCCTAAATTTGAAATCAGATTCCATATTTTTACTTTTTACTTGCTGCACTTTCGAAAACTCAGCATCTCCAACCCTTGTTTAGGAAGCATTAGGGCGAAGTTATGTTTCTGTGTTAGCTACAAGGCTGCTGCTAGCCTGAAAACACAATGAAAACTTTGTCGCGCGAAGCGCGACGCTGACGATGGATAAAGGGCCTTAACAGCTTTTTTTATGCAGTTTCTCATAACAGTTTTTCAATTCGCACAGCAGAAGGCGGGCTCGGGATCGCTCGCATCCGGCTATCCCGCTCGCTCGGCTCGCTCGTTATTTTTTTCCTGATCCTCAGCTCGTTCGCAAAAACGCAAAACGGCGCGTGCTCGCTCGAAGCGCTCGCGAGCAGCGAGCGCTCGTGAGCCGAGCCGAGCTGCTCGGCTCGTGCAGGGCTCTAGTTCACGGTTGAAAAAATGGTTCGTAAATAACAAGTGAAAGAGGAGACCGACATTTTGTTCAGCCCCGGTAAATGTGGTGTTAAAAATTGCTTGTCTTAATATTATTAATAGACACACTGTCATGCCTATATTATTGTTATTATTAGTAGAAGACACTGTTTAACAAAAACACACTCACTTGTTAATTTTTGTACTGGTTAGATGAACTCAACCACTCACTCGACGCGGTGCGTCTCGCAGTCCGCCAGCCGGCTTTTTGTGAATATTTAACCGCTGGGAAGGGCGGCGAAGTATTCCTGGAGCAGCTGGTGTAAGCCATCCAGCCAGTGAACCCGCGGCTAGTGGAGCTGTCGCTCAAGGTCATCGGCAATGTTTTCGTGGGTGGCGAATCCGGCATAGCGTTTGCTCTCAAGAACCGGGTGGCTTTGCTGCAATCCATGTCCGGGGCGATGGCAAGCGAACACCCGTGGGACCATGGAACACGGCTGGATGTTTTGCAGAACTCCGCCATTCTCTTCTTTGAGCAGCAGTGGGCGGTGCAGCTGATGCCCCTGCTGAATGACCTGTTGCTTGGAAAAAAGGTAAATGGCGCGGCAAAACTGCATAAACTGACGTTAATCAGTTTTTTACCGGGTAGTACGTCTGTTATGTCTGTAAATTGACAATTATGTATTGATCAAAACCGGTAAAATGTGCATAAAATTCAGTAAATCGCATATAACTGTAACAAAAATATTTCTTCTTATGGCACGAAACATGGTTAACTGCAAGGTCGGCGAGCTCGAACTCGGGACTTCGGTATTCGCACCAGAAAGGAGCGCGCGTCGACTACGGCTGCTGTCGTGTCCGAGGAGAGGCTGCAGGTGCTCACGTCTCCGAGCAACAACGACGCGGTTATCTCTCTGCAAGGTTCGCTTCCGAGTGAGGTGTAGGGTGTGTCGGCTTCTTGACAAGGGTGTGTCGGCTTCTTGACATTTATATTGATAGAATATTTCAGTAATGTTATTATACGTATTAAAATATATACCTCTTTATTTTTACATTATTTTTACTTGTATGTGGTATACTTGTTTATCGTGCAGTAATTTTATGGTTGTTTATATTTATTTAATATATTGTCACAGAGGCAAATGATAAAACGGAAACTGACGGCAAATCTGACTGCCAAATCGTAATCATTAACAAATACCATCCTAATCTAAATGAATCGACACGGAAATCACTGAAAAACACTCGAAAAGTTCCAGGTCCCGACTTTCTAAATAAAGCAGTCCTTTAAAAAAGCGACAAAACAAGACTGAGAAATGTCTCCGTTTCGGCGAAGCCGCATAACCCGCAAATACAGCGCTAACGAACAGGAATGCACTACCGCTTCAAAGAACCAATCATCGCTAAACAACGCTAAAGGCGCGTCCCATGTTACACGTCCGCCCGGACCCCAGCCGCACAAAGAAAAGTAATAGAATAACAAGACTATAATGATACGAACATAATGGCATTCATGTTGCGAAAATTTCGAAAAAAATAACTAAGCATCGCGTACTTAAAAATAAAGTCTTCAGTGAGACACAATGACACCTATTTCGGATCCTCCGCGCCAAGGTTCTCTTTATCTGCCGCTTCCGGTGTTCCCGACATCTCCCCGTCGCCACTGTTTTCGGGCTTCTTCACCCTGCGCGTCGACCGACATTTCTTCTGACACAGACTCGCCTGGCTGCTCTTCGGCCTTTCGCCGGTGCTCTGCGGCTTAAAGCCGGATGTCCCGCAGCGGAAGGTTACGCACGATTAGCGGAATGCAATTCTCGTAGTCAACATTGACATACACGGGGCCACCTTCTTCCGGCGTAGTCGGATTGGGAACAGCGTAGAAAAATCCAAATCCGTCCCAGGGCTGGTAATATACAGGAGCCGGCTGCCCCTTGATGTTACTCGGCATGGGGAAGTGTTGCTCTGCGGCTATCTCCACTGCGGTATGGCTGTCGGCAGGCACAGGCGGTTGAAAGATCATGCGTGCCAACAACGGTGCAAATCGCGCGTCCATCTTGATACGGCGAGCCTGGGCTAGGTACTTATCGGCATTGCCGGTGATAAGCGCATGATGAATGCGAACCCACTCGCGGAGGGTGGAGTCGGCCGGAAACAAGCGGCTGTCGCTGTAGTGGAACGGATAGCCGTTATACTGATGTTCCAACAGAGTGGGCGGGCCGATATACCACCGCACAACGCGGTAATCTCCGAAATCGATAAATGTCCTCCTCAACCGCACTCACTGTCGCCGAAAGTTCCGTGCTAGCAGTAGCAGCATTAGCTGAATCATTGAAGTCCTGAAGGTCCGTGTAACCTGTACCTCCCGGCACTACATTATAGCTAGCGTCCTTTTCACGAAGAGGTAAGCGCACCGACAACTACACCTCCCACTACTGTCGGCTCCCGTTTTTCGGCGACCCCGCGCTTGGTGGGCGGCTGCCCGCGTTATCTGCGTTATCGCGCAGAGACTCGCGGCGCTGCCGACGCTGCACCTGGTACTCTCGCACAGCCGGCGGAAGTTTGGCCGGATCGACGTGGTACCACTTGCAGTTGGGGCTTACATGGCCTTTCTCTCCACATGTCCAGCAAATTATGTTGCTGGGGGTGGACGGTCGATTTGTCATTTGACTAGCGCTAGATTCAGTTGGCCTACTAGTTTGCTGCTCGGTCTCGGAAAACGAGATCAGGTCACCTATCGCCCGTTCTGAAAACGAACTACGATTATGACGATTCCTATTGAAATGATCACTAGCATGCAGCTGTGACTGAATTCCCACTGCAGCATCGCTGGTTTTCTGCACAAGAATGCAGTTATAGTTACGTGCTTGCAGGAGGAAGTTCGCCGGTGTTAATGGCTTGTTTAGTTGCCACTAACGTGTACAATTCGGGAAGCGTACGCAAACCATTAACCAGATAATTAACTTGTATTACCGGTGTAAACACACACCCGCAATATGCGATCAGGTCCATTACTGCCTGATAATAATCATCGAAGCTCTCTTTTTGCAGTTTATAATACCGAGAAGCCAGATCCTGAGAAACAACTAACTCACGATCGTGCTCATAAAACTTCTAACGAACAGGAATGAACTACCGCTTCAAAAAACCAATCATCGGTAGGGTAATTATTACTAGGAGGTGGCGGTCCGTAGGTATCGCGAGCTAATGCGTTAGCGTAAGTGCCTCGACCTCAACCGCGACTGGTCGATCCTCTGTAACTTCGACTTTGTGGGTTCTGCCAACAACCGCCCTTAAGGTGACCAGCCTTCCCACAGCAGTGACATTTACGAGACTCGCGTTGTCGGCTATCACGGCGCTGGCCACCTGCTTCCAGTTGGCTAAGCCTAGCGCGAATGGCTTCCATCTTAGCTGGGTCAGGGACAGCAACATCGACGCGAACGACTTTTGCCTGTGTATCGGTTGGGGGCGGAAGGTTTCCGGTAGGACTGTGTTGTCCGTTTAACCGTCTCAGTTTCCACGCGGGGAGGCTTTCGTTAAGGACCGGCATCGACTTCAGGAAAAGCTATGCGTTGACGGTATTTGTAAGCGCGAAATATTTTTTTCAACCTTTCCAGGAACTCCGTTGGGTCTTCGATCTCATCGATTTCGGCTTTTAAGCCGTCAGGTAAGCCTTGGAATAAATGTAGGATTAGGTCATCCGGAGAGGCGTTAGGATTACGCGTCGTCACGATGTGCGTAATCCATGAAACACAGGCCAGAGGATCGTCAGATGAAAGCATTTTCAGACTCATGCCCTGCAGGTCAAAATCTATGGGATTTTTCCCGAAACTCTCCTTAAGAGCCTTCTTTTAAAGTCATCTCAATTGTTGTCACCGGGACGATTGGCAAACCAGTGAAGGGCGTCGCCCGTGAGACAGGCTCTCAGGCAGCTAAGCAACTGTCCTGATTTTCAACCGTACAGTGTCCCTTGAGACTCGTATTCGAGTATGAAATTACCCACGTCTTCCAAAAAGTTCCCGTAAACTTAGGCAAGTCCCTGATATTGGGAGCATGAAGCTGGAAACCTTTCTCAGCTGCTTGGTTAACGTCATCATTATACTATCACTTAGTGCCATGATGTGTTCAGGCCTTTTAACGACTCTTCGAGGCTTGCGATTCTGCTTGCGTAAAAAAAGGCGACCTTTCACCTCTGTCCAGCTCAGGATCTGAGTCACAGCAGGACGAAGAAGGTACCCCGTGAGTGAGGGCGATAGTGACTCAATTGTCTGATCAAAGGGCAAGACGGGATTAATGCTCACATTATGTGGTTCATAGAACGCCGTATTATGTAAGTCCGACTGATTTATATTGGAAGGGTCGGAGTCCGATCATAACTCCACGACGTACCCTGGAAGGTTCGGTTCAGGCTTTCTATTACGGTGCTAACGCCAGAATTTATCGACCATGGAATCGAAGCTATACCCCGAATCCAGATTGAATAAATCTAATTAATCAGAAGTTATCACACGGAACGACGGGCCGTTATGAGAAAGCAGCAAAACAGGAAGTGGGGTGGTGCCATGATTAAAGAAAATCCCTGTATCTTCAGTATTCCGATTTTTCCACTTGACATGTAATATCGAATATCGAGTAAACAGATTATTGCAAAAGGCAGCAAATTCGTTGTTATTTTGGAAAAAATAAGTCTCCGACAATTGATGTATATACACCTGATTATTAATTCGCTGAACAAGTGATAATTCGTATACTATATTTGAATTTTATCACAGAAAATGAATGATTTTAAAAAAAATGATTTGAAAACAACGATCTTTAACATAAGTTAAAATCACATAATCGTACTGCGGCATATACGACACTACAGAGCGATGCAGTAATATAATGCACGTGCACTGTCGAACGGCTGAGAGGCGGCGCACGTTACATTATGGATTATTAAATATTACGACTCACGTATTTTGTTTGGGTCCGGTCCATGCTGTAGCAATGCGCAAAGGAAATGCCGGATGGCCAGGTAATGGCACGGCGATGCCGGAAATACCGGTTAACACAGCATAGAACAGGATACCAGGCAAGACAGAATGATAAAACTGAAAGACGACTGTAGTAACCGACATGTATTTTCTCAGTCAGTGAGGACCATTTGTCACGTTAATTAGTGGCAGAGCGAAATAAGCGAAAGGTCACGGCGGTATAGTTCCGGCCGGTTTTGTAGTATAATATGCAGTGTTTAGGGAAATACGCATAAATGGCAACGAACGATACGGCAAATGCTAGTCAGGGATTGTTATTTAGGGAAATCAGATTGCATGGCGGTAGCTGTGTCAGAAAAGCGCAAAAACAGGGGTATATGAGAGCAACAAATGGAACGGTCTATCAGATAATAACATTCATGGGCATAGCGCCCTTATGATCCGTGGAAGGCTAGCGCAGGCGAATATCGCTCAAGAAAATCGAACCGTGACAACAAAAAAGACGATATGTCCACGAAACAACACCTTCTACAGAACGGCGCTAATGGCGTTCAACACCGCACAGTACTCAGTGTCACCGTCGCTACAGCTGCA